TGGACTAGGAGGGGAATGGGTGGACTGGAGACCATAGTGGGGGGGCACTGGGGTAGACTGGGAGGCACTGGAAGGGCCCTGGGGGGCACTGGAGACCACACTGGGAAGGTCCTTAGTGGGTCCTTACTGGGTGTTGCTGGGCCTGGATTGGTCCATACTGGTTCGTACTGGTCCATACTGGTCCGTACTGGTCCATACTGGTCTGTACTGGTCCGTACTGGTGCAGGCAGTGCAGGGACCCCCGTGAGCTTCAATGAGAACGGCGATGCTCCGGGCAGATACGACATCTTCCAGTTCCAGGGCGCCAATGGCAGCGGCAGCTACCGGACCGTGGGGCAGTGGGTGCAGGGCCTGCACCTGCAGGTGGGTGCTGCCCCCCCCTTCCAATGGGTGCCCCATGGGCAACTGGTGGGATCTCAGGGGTCAATTGGGTGCCTCTGTGGTCAGCTGGGTGATTTCATGGTCAATTGGGTGCCTCTATGGTCAGCTGGGTGATTTCATGGTCAATTGGGTGCATTCATGGTCAAGTGGGTGACTCCATGGTCACTGGGTGCCTTCATGGTCAATTGGGTGACTCCATGGTCAATTGGGTGCCTCTATGGTCAACTGGGTGCCTCCATGGTCAACTGGGTGCCTCCATGGTCAATTGGGTGTCTCCATGGTCAACTGGGTGCCATTATGGTCAATTGGGTGCCTCCATGGTCAACTGGGTGCCATTATGGTCAATTGGGTGCCTCCATGGGCAACTGGGTGCCCTTACTAAACTGCTGAGACCCCCATGGTCACCTGGATGGACCTCAATGGTCAACTGGTTGGATCTCAATGACCAGTTGGATGCCCCCATGGTCAATTGGGTGCTCCTGTGGTCAACTGTTGGGATTTCAATGGTCAACCAGTTGGATCTCCATGACCAGTTGGATCTCAATGATCAGTTGGGTGCCCCGTGGTCAACTGGTTGGATCTCAATGACCAGTTGGACGCCCCGATGGTCAAGTGGGTGTGCCATGGTCAACTGGTGGGATCTTAATGATCAATTGGGTACCCCTGTGGTCAACCGGTTGGATCTCAATGGTCAACCAGTTGGATCTCAATGATCACTTGGGTGCCCTGTGGTCAACCGGTTGGATCTCAATGGTCAACCAGTTGGATCTCAATGATCACTTGGGTGCCCTGTGGTCAACCAGTTGGATCTCACTGATCACTTGGGTGCCCTGTGGTCAACTGGTGGGATCTCAATGGTCAACCAGTTGGATCTCAATGATCACTTGGGTGCCCTGTGGTCAACTGGTGGGACCTCAATGACCAACCGGACACCCTATGTCCAACTCCCACCCCCTCCCCACTGTTGGATGTCTGCTGCCCCCTTCACCTGCCTCCCCCCCCCCCCTTCCCCCCCAGGTGGATGCCATGATGTGGGGCTCCAACCGCTCGGTGCCCCCCTCGGTCTGCAGCCTCCCCTGTGGTCCTGGCGAGAAGAAGACCCCGGTGAAGGGGGTCCCATGCTGTTGGCACTGCGAGCTCTGCTCCGGCTACCGCTTCCTGGCCGACCCCCAGAGCTGCCAGGCCTGCCCCTCCCACCTGCGCCCCACAACCAACCACACCTCCTGCCGCCCCACGCCCGTCCTGCGCCTGCGCTGGGGGGACCCTTGTGCCGCCGTCCCTTTGGCTTTGGCCACCTTGGGCTTGCTGGCGACCGCCTTCGTCTTGCTCACCTTCATCAAGCACCACGAGACGCCCATCGTGAAGGCGTCGGGGCGGGAGCTCAGCTACGTCCTGCTGGTGGGCATCGCTTTGGTCTACGCCATCACCTTCCTCATGGTGGCCGAGCCGGGGGTGGGCGTCTGCGCCATGAGGAGGCTCTTCTTGGGCTTAGGGATGAGCCTCAGCTACGCCGCGCTCCTCACCAAGACCAACCGCATCTACCGCATCTTCGAGCAGGGTGAGGGACGTGGGATGGGGTTCTGCTGTGACTTATGGGGCTGACCATGGGGTCTGGACCTCCATGGGTTCCTATTGAGGGTCAAGAGTTTGGGTTGAGAGACGTGGGATGGGGTTCTACCTACCCCGAGCTCCTCACCACAACCACCTCCCATCTACCACATCCTCCCCCAAGGTGACTTATGGGGCTGACCATAGGTTCTGGAGGTCCCAGGGGTCCAGGAACCACATAGGGGTCCCACTGAGGGTCAAGAGCTTGGGTTGAGGGACGTGGGATGGGGTTCTACGTACCCTGAGCTTCTCACCGCAACCACGCACATCTTCTGTGCCCTCAATTGAGGTGACTTATGGGGCTGACCATAGGCTCTGGAGGTCCATGGGGTCCAGGAACCACATAGGGGTCCCACTGAGGGTCAAGAGCTTGGGTTGAGGGACGTGGGATGGGGTTCTACGTACCCTGAGCTCCTCACCGCAACCACCTCCCATCTACCACATCCTCCCCCAAGGTGACTTATGGGGCTGACCATAGGTTCTGGAGGTCCCAGGGGTCCAGGAACCACATAGGGGTCCCACTGAGGGTCAAGAGCTTGGGTTGAGGGACGTGGGATGGGGTTCTACGTACCCTGAGCTTCTCACCGCAACCACGCACATCTTCTGTGCCCTCAATTGAGGTGACTTATGGGGCTGACCATAGGCTCTGGAGGTCCATGGGGTCCAGGAACCACATAGGGGTCCCGCTGAGGACCAAGAGCTTGGGTCGAGGGATGTGGGATCAGGTTCCACCTACCCCAAGCTCCTCACCACAACCACCTCCCATCTACCACATCCTCCCCCAAGGTGACTTATGGGGCTGACCATAGGCTCTGGAGGTCCCAGGGGTCCAGGAACCACATAGGGGTCCCGCTGAGGACCAAGAGCTTGGGTCGAGGGATGTGGGATCAGGTTCCACCTACCCCAAGCTCCTCACCACAACCACCTCCCATCTACCACATCCTCCCCCAAGGTAACTTATGGGGCTGACCAAAGGTTCTGTGTACCCCACAACCCCTTTCCTTGCCCCCCCCTTTATAGGGAAGCGCTCGGTGACCCCCCCCCGCTTCATCAGCCCCACTTCGCAGCTCGTCATCACCTTCGCCCTCAGCGGGATGCAGCTGGTGGGGGCGGCCCTGTGGCTTCTCCTGCGGCCCCCCCATGCCTTGGTGGACTACGAGATGGGGCGAACCCCCGACCCCGAGGACGCGCGGGGGGTGCTGCGCTGCGACATGGCCGAGGGCGCCACGTTGGCCTGCCTGGCCCACGCGTTGCTCCTCATGCTCACCACCACCGTCTACGCCGTCAAGGCCCGCGGCGTCCCCGAGACCTTCAACGAGGCCAAACCCATTGGCTTCGCCATGTACACGACCTGCGTGGTGTGGTTGGCCTTCGGGCCCATCTTCTTCGGCGCTGCCCGATCGGCTGAGAGGGTGAGGAGGGGACGTGGGGGTATGAAGAGGTCTGGGAGGGAAGGTTTGAGGGGGGGGGAAACCAGGGCTTTGGGGGGAAACAAGAGTTGAGGGGTTGGGATTGAGGTTGGGTTGGGGTTGAGGTGGGGATGGGGTTGGGATTGAGGTTGGGTTGGGATTGAGGTTGGGGTTGAGGTGGGGATGGGGTTGGGATTGAGGTTGGGTTGGGATTGAGGTTGGGGTTGAGGTGGGGATGGGGTTGGGTTGGGGTTGAGGTGGGGATGGGGTTAGGTTGGGGTTGGGGTTGAGGTGGGGATGGGGTTAGGTTGGGGTTGAGGTGGGGATGGGGTTGGGTTGGGATTGAGGCTGGGTTGGGGTTGAGGTGGGGATGGGGTTGGGTTGGGATTGAGGCTGGGGTTGAGGTGGGGATGGGTTGGGGATGAGGTGGGGATGGGGTTGGGTTGGGGTTGGGGTTGAGTTGGGGACGGGATTGGGTTGGGATTGAGGTTGGGGTTGAGGTGGGGATGGGGTTGGGTTGGGGTTGAGGTGGGGATGAGTTGGGTTGAGGTTGGGGTTGAGGTGGGGATGAGTTGGGTTGAGGTTGGGGTTGAGGTGGGGATGGGGTTGGGTTGGAGTTGAGGTGGGGATGGGTTGGGATTGAGGTTGGGGTTGAGGTGGGGATGGGATTAGGTTGGGGTTGAGGTTAGGTTTGAGGTGGGGATGGGGTTGGGTTGGAGTTGAGGTGGGGATGGGTTGGGATTGAGTTTGGGTTGAGGTGGGGATGGGGTTGAGGTGGGGTGGGGATGGGTTATGATAGAGGTTGGGTTGGGTAGAGGATGGGTTGTGGCGGATTTGTAGATGGAGTTGAGGCTGGTTTGGGGTTGGGTTGGGATTGAGTTTGGGCTGGGATTGAGTTTGTATTGGGATTGAGGTTGGGTTGGGCATGAGGTTGGGTTGGGATTGAGGTTGGGTTGGGCATGAGGTTGGGTTGGGATTGAGGTTGGATTGGGTATGAGGTTGGGATGAGGTCAGGTTGGGCATGAGGTTGGGTTGGGTTGAGGTTGGGTTGGTGTTGAGTTTGGGTTGGGATTGAGTTTGGGTTGGGTTGAGGTTGGGTTGGGTTGAGGTTGGGTTGGGTTGGATTGAGGTTGGGTTGGGTTGAGGTTGGGTTGGCGTTGAGTTTGGGTTGGGTTGAGGTTGGGTATGAGGTTGGGTTGAGGTTGAGTGGGGTTGTGGCTGGGGTCAAGGTTGGGTTGAGGTTGTGTTGTGTTGGGGTTGAGTTGCATTGGTTCAGGCCTGGACTATGGGGCTTAGCCTGGACCCATGTGGTCAACTTGGGGGTCACAAGAGAGATTTAAGGGGGTTCCCAGGAGGCACTGGGAAAGAACAGGAGCTTGAAGGCCATTGAGGGGATGGGAATGGGTTTGTGTGTGGGGGGGGGCACAGAGGAGGGATCCAGGGGCTGAGTGGGGCCAAATGGAACTTGGGGGGGGGGGGGGCTCCGCCTCCTTTCCCCTTGGCCACGCCCCCCTCCCCCCCACCCCACCCCATAGGTGCACGTGCAGACCGCCACGCTCACGGTCTCCATGAGCCTCTCGGCCTCGGTCCCGCTCGGGCTCCTTTACGCGCCAAAAGTCTACGTCATCCTCTTGCACCCGGAGCGCAACCAACCGCGGCGGCCGCGGGCCGACCCGCCCCCGTAGCCACGCCCCCACCTCCTCTCCGCGCGCCCTCTAGGCCACACCCCCTCCCGCCTTCAGGCCACGCCCCTTCCCCGTCTCGTCGTCGTTTCCCCCCCCACAATAAAGCTCCTGACACCGGACATCCGGGACCCCTTTATGTGGGGGGGTGCACACGGATACTTGGGGGGCAGGGACCCGTTTTGGGGGGACAGGGACACACTTGGGGGGGTTACAGGAGGGGTAAAAGGGGGGGGAACCAGGTTTATTTGGGGGGAGGACCAGGTTTGTTTGGGGGGGGGTGTTACTTAGGGGGCTTCTGGGGGGGTCTCACCAGCAGCTCCAGCCACTGCGTCAGTGTGGGGCAGGCGAAAGGGGGCTTGGGAGGGAAAAAGGAGTGGTTAAGAGGGGGTAACCCCACAAGTGACCCCCACCAAGGACACTCAATTGCCCCCCACGTCCCCTAAACCTGCCCCATAGACCCTTCAATTGCTCCCAGACACCCCCAAGTGCCCCCCAGGTCCCCTAAACCTGCCCCATAGACCCCCCCAATTGCCCCCAGACACCCCCAAGTGCCCCCCAGGTCCCCTAAACCTGCCCCATAGACCCCCCCCAATTGCCCCCAGACACCCCCAAGGGCCCCCCAGCTCCCCTAAACCTGCCCCATAGACCCCTCAATTGCCCCCAGACACCCCCAAGGGCCCCCCAGATCCCCTAAACCTGCCCCATAGACCCCCTCATTTGCCCCCAGACACCCCCAAGGGCCCCCCAGATCCCCTAAACCTGCCTCATAGACCCCTCATTTGCCCCCAGACACCCCCAAGGGCCCCCCACGTCCCCTAAACCTGCCCCATAGACCCCTCATTTGCCCCCAGACACCCCCAAGGGCCGCCCAGGTCCCCAAAACCTGCCCCATAGACCCCTCATTTGCCCCCAGACACCCCCAAGGGCCGCCCAGGTCCCCAAAACCTGCCCCATAGACCCCCCCCAATTGCCCTCAGACACCCCCAGGTCCCCTAAACCTGCCCCCTAGCCCCCCCCCCATTGCCCCTAGGGCCCCCCCTCCCCATCAGCCTGCAGTCACTCACAG